AAAATGAGAAATATCCTGTGCAATTTATGGCCTCTGAAAACCCACTGGAGGGTCAGCTGTGAGTCAGTTCTAACCCAAAGGCATATAACAACAACAGCAGCCTCATTTTCCTAGTGAAGAAAGTTAGTTCTTTGAAAGGGTCAGGATCTTACCGAAGGACTCTGAGGCACTCGGTAGGACAGCCAGAACAGAGCTCATGTTTCCTGACTTGAAATATCTCTATCATGCTAGCATATGAGCAATGGGCCATTCTCTCAGCTCTGCCCCTACATGGGGTTCCTAGCAGCCAGGCCCCTCCCAACAGCCTCCCAAGACCTTATTCTCCCTTCCTGGGGTTAGAGCCCAAGAAACCAACCTCTTGAGGAAGATGGGGGTGGGGGGAAATTGCTTCCCTGCAGGCCTTGAGCACAGTGCTAGCTAGCCCAGGAGTGGAAGAGGTGAGGCAATGGCCATATAAGGATACATTTTCCCTCTTCACGAAGCGCCCCCCGCTTCCCTACACCTCTGTCTTGCTGCTCCCCAGTCTTTAGGGGCACAGCCAGGCTAGCGAAGGTCGAGAACCCTGGGGCCCAGATCTACAAATGGGTTTGGTTTCATCATAAAATGATTAAAAGAGACAGAAAATACAAGCTGCTCTTAAACTTTTTAACTATTATTTTTATCCCCTGGGCAGCTGTGTGAGCACAAAGCTGGTTTTGATTAAGCGTGTGGTCCTTCCAGTCCACTTCTTGCCCCAGTTCTCACGGAGGGCCTGGCACTCAGCTTTCCCTCCACCTCCCTGGGCTCCAGGGTGCCCGCACTCCAGGGTGGCGCAAGGTCCTGAGTTTGGAAGGGGCTGGTTAGAAAAGGAAGCCCGAGCTCTTTTCTCCTGGCCAGATACTGTTATAGTTGAGTACCATGGGAGTCAGAACCGACCCATAGCTGACACTCCAGTGGGTTTTCAGAGGCAGTAAATCACACAAGAAGCAATTACCCATCCTTCTCCCACAGAGCAGCTGGTGGATTTGAACCTTGTACCTTTGGGTTGCTAGCACAATTCCTTACTACTAAGCTACCAGAGCTCTCTGATCAGGAAATAGAGCATCTGAAAGCAAAGCTATATGATCATCATATGGCCACTGTGACACACAGACAAAGCCCTTCCCAGGGCTTCATGGAAGTGAAGGATTCTAAAGCAGATTCAGAAGGGGTTGAGGGAATATGGCACCCAGGAGGAATGAATGGGTAAATAGGTAAATGGTTGAGTTTTGTTTTGCACTCCAGAGCAAGCACTGTTGCATGCATTCTGTCCTCTGAGCCTCCTGCCATCCAGAAGAGAAAAAATGCATACCTATCCCCTTTGCACAGATTTGGAAACAGAAACACAGAGCCACTCAGTGTTGTTTGCCCAAGATTACTGGAGATCAAGCCAAAGCTAAACCCCACATCTCTTGATCCTGCTCTGATGATGCTTGGGAAACAAAACTGAGCACAGTCAGAGCAGGACAGAAGAAATCTCTCATCATCTGCCTCCAGCAGCTGGCTCTCATTGTTTGCTTGTCAGTGCCTCAGTTTACTCGCCAGTGAAACCCCCTGATCCTCCTTTGCCTCCTTCTTCTCATGCGCCAGCATTCATCAGGAGTAAGGTAGCAAGGGAAGTGCTGCAGCCACGGAAAGCACAACTATCTACATCGTCTGCTGCCATTGTCCTTGGCCCTTGAGTTGGCTCTGCCTTGCAGGAGTCCTGTGTGACTAAGAAGAACTGCCCCATAAGGTTTTCTAAGCAGTGATCTTTACAGGAGCTGAGTTCTCAGTCTTTTCTCTCACAGAACTGCTAGGTGGGTTTGAACTGCCTACCCTACTGTTAGCACTGTCTTGTTTAACCAGTGCACCAACAGGGCTTCTGTATGCTCTGCACACTCGCACTCTTTTCTCTCTTCTCCTCTCTCCTCTCTCTCTCCCCCCCCCTTCTTTTCTCTGTCTCTCTTACAGACACAGACAGCCCCCCCATACACGCACATGTGTGCGTGCACACACGGCGGAGGAGTTTGCCTCTCTTTCTCCCCAGAACTTCTGGTGGATTTGAACCACTCAAGAGGCTGCAGACCACACCATCAGAGCTCACTAATCTCTCATCAAAATAAGCAAAAGCTTATTTTGTTGTTGTTATGTGCCATCGAGTCGACTATGACTCATAACGACCCTATGTACAATAGCTCTGAACTCGGCTCTATCCGGAACCAATCCCACTATCTCTGACACACTTACCCTCATTACCCCAGTTATTACGTCAACCCATCTCATTCGGGGTCTTCCTCTCCTGTGCTGTCCCTCGACCCTTTCTTTTAAATTATCGGCGGCTGTCAGAAGTGTTAATCTTGAAGGAAAGGAACAAGTAGTTCCCAGGACAAGCTAACCCATAGGCTCACCCCATGTTCTCGATTTAGAGCACTCCAGTGTGTGCCCAGCCCTCTAATATCACCACCACCTTGCTCAGTGCAACACACGTGCTCACAGAGCTTGAGAGGCTGGGAGTTTTCAACCTGGATGCACATTAGAATCGGTGGTGGAATTTCTGGAAAATACTCATGCTCAGATTCCTAACCAGACCACTTAAACCAGGAACTGCAGGGGTGAGGTAGCCAGGGGACACTTCTAATGCACAGCTGAGGCTGAGAACCAAATATATCTGTTCAGCTTATTATCCCTGAGGAATGTCTGCTTTTCTCCATGTCCCTATTGGAAATTGGGTGACCCTTAGAGAAAGAGCAGGACACAAACTTGGCAGTGCCAGCTCTGGATGATGGAGCCCTTGACCTGGGGCTTGTTTGCTCTTGGTGACAAGAGGAAGCCAACAGACGGGGGGAAGGGGACTCAGCCACGATACCAAGTGCTGCTTTAAGAGATTACTACCAGCTGGTTCCTCTGACCCATCCCCTGTCACGTGCTTGCTGGGAAGTTCTACTTGAACATCGAACGCCTGATCATTTCTGCTGTTAACAAGTGTTTGGCTTTTCGAGAGTGTTGATAAGAAATTGCCCCACAGCTCAGGAGACTTCTAACAACAAGATGCCCAATTTAAGTCTGAGCTGCCACCAAACCCTGACAGTGGCCGCATGGAGCTCCACCCCTGGTCACCTGGTTGCAGACTCAGGGTGAGTCAGTTCTGACTCTCTGGTATGCAATAACAACACTTTTGCTCTCTGGAGAAAGTGACCACGATGGATACCACGTCATCCATCCCATTGCCATTGTGTTGATTGTGTCGAGTTGGAACTGACTCATAGTTGACCCTCCAGTGGGTTTTCAGAATCAGTAAATTGCCTAGGAGATGATTGCGCATCCTCCTCTAAAGGAGCAACCAGTGGGTTCGAACCACCTGTCTTTGGGTTAGCATTGCAGTTCCATACCCACTAAACCACCAGAAAGTAGAGTAGAATCGACTTGTAGGGTTTTCAAGGCTACGGTCTTTATGGAAATGGGCTGCTTCATTACTCCTCCATAGAGCCCCCAGTGGATTTGAACCAGCGACCTTTTAGTAGCTGTGTGCTTTAAACCAACAGGAGGAGCAATGCATCCAGATGTTCTGCATCCACATGTAAGGGAAGGGCATGTCCCTAGCACATCTGCTCTGTGCCATTCATGCCCACCCCTCTCCTAGAGCCCCACCCAGGACAGAGCATGACAGGACTGTTAGCAGCCCGCCTGCCCCAGGACAGTGAGAGGCCCCTTCCTTCCCAGCCAAGCCACAAGAATGTGGCCCAGTCTCAGCTGGAAAGTCCCACCCGCTCCTTCCTCACTGAGCTTCCTCTCTTCTGGAGCAGGAAAAGGATGGACAGGAAAGGGGCTCTGAAAGGGAGGCTCCTGCCCAGCACTGTCCCCTAGGGTTGTTGGGGTATGGGGAGAGGAAAACCGGGCACAGTGACAGCAGTTCAGCCAGCTCCTTATCCCACCCCTTGGTTTCCCCACCACTTCATCAAGTCCTCTTGCCAAAGGGTTCAGAGAAGGCCTTTCCCACTGATCCCCATCCTCCAAGGATGTTTCCTTGCTGCCTCAATAAAGGAAGGTTTCTCTGACATTCCTCACACTTCCTTTCATTAAACTGGAAATAAGAGCATACAGTAGAGACCTCAGGGAGTGTGCGCACACCCCTTCTCCGTGTTTTCTTTTCTTCTCAGAAGGCTGGTGACAGAGGGTTCCCTTGGGTCTGCATTGGGGAAGAATCCCTGGTGGTGGTGCAAACAATTCACATTCTGCTGAAGGGCGCATGATTGCTAAAAGAAAAGTTGAAGTTTCATGCCTATCCAGAGGTACCTTGGAAGAAAGGCCTGGCAATCTAATACAAAAAGTCATTCCTTGAAAACCCAGTGGAACACAGTTCTACTCTGACATACACCTAAGGTCACCCATGAATTGGAATTAACTCAGGAGCAACTGGTAGCAGAAGTCTCCAGGATGGGTGCAGAGATCAGCACAGGGAGGACACCAGGAGCCAGTGCCCATCTGTGGACTGAAGTTTGAGGTACAGGCCTCTCGGGACAGAGAGCCCCCCTTGCAAGGACTTGGCTGCTTCATCTTCTGTGTTGAAGTCCCCTCTCTGCTCAGAGCCAGTGCTTAGGAGATCCAGAACATTCGACCTGAGCCAAGACCCAATAAAGGCAAAGGATGGGGAAGAAGTGAGCAGTGGGGAGATGACTCTCTTCTGACCCTGCCAGTTCCCCCAAGTGAGGTTATTTCTGGCAGTGTGAGCCTGCCACCAAGGGGACGGTGTTTAGCTTCCAGGATGGCCTGTGCATCCATCTTCCCAGGGGGACCGTGCTCTTGCGCCCTGATTTATAAAACCCCACAGAGCCAACACTCCTTCTTTGGTGCTCCGGGGAGCAGGTGCCGGGGCTGCAGGCTCTGTTCTGCTCAGTGGTCATGGGAGGGGGGCAGGGTGTCCAGATCTGATTGAGATCCCTCCCTGCTCACCTCCTAGGGCAGCTGTGACTGATAATTTGTTATGACTTGTTTTATTCCAGATGCTCCCGCCAATGAGAATGCCAAGGCCCCAGAGCTGAAATCCCGTCGACCTAGGAGTTCCCTTCCCACTGTGCTTGGAACAGAGAGTAAGTCATCTTGCACATGTACCAGGCAGAGGTGGGGGTACAGAACCCCCAGACTGAGACCCTCTTCTCCCTGATTTCACCCGCTCACCTTCACTTCTCCCAGTCTGGCTTCTCCCCATTACTGCCCCAGAGTGCCCAGGGAGCTCCCCATGACTTGGCCCATGACCTTCACTGAGCACGCACCTCTCTTCCCATTCTCTTTATGCTCACAGTAGGGCTGCACATCTCACCTCTCTCTCCTCCTACCCACGTATGTTCCCCCTCAGCCCATCATTTCCCTTGTCCTTTCTCACCAGGACCCCAGCAGAGCTGTTCCAAACTTCTCCTTAGTTGAGCCCATTTATCAGGTGGTGTTAGGTGCCACTGAGTCGATTTCAGCTCTTAGCTACCCTGTGAGAGGGAAGAGCTGCCCTGGAGGGATTCCTAGGCCATGATCTTTACAGAAGCAGACTGCCGGGTCTTTCCTGCAAAGCCGCTGTCTGAATTCGAACGGCAACCTTTCTGGTAGCAGCTAAGTGCTTGGTCATTACACCACCAAGTTCTTTATTCCTCTAAAAAGGAAAAGAACTACTGTCATTGAGTCAATTCGAAATCATGCAACCCTCCACTGATTTTCCAAGGCTATAAATTGGGAGACTGCCTGTCTTCTTCCTTTAGAGTGGCTTGGTCGATTTGAACTGCACACCTTTCAGTTAATAGTCTAGCACATAACACTCCACCACCTACATTTTTATTTTTGTTTTTCAAAATAAATTTTTATTTTATACTGGTTTGCTTACAAAGTTCCTATACATTGCTTTTCACATTAGATCTTTTTTATTTCCTTTAATCACCTCTCCCACTACCCATCAAATTGTGAGGCCCTATGACTTCCCCCCTGCCCTTCCTCATTCCTCTGTTCCTACCTCCTTGGATCCTAAAACACATTTTACTAATTATCTTTCTGTTTCTACAAAATGGTCTTATACTGTATTTGTCCTTATAGGACTGAGTTGGTTCACATAGCATAATGTACTCCAGTCCCTCCCAAGTTAGGTATTGATTTTCTAAATCATTGCTCCTGCATGCTGCACAGTATTCCATTATGTATTCCACAATTTCTCAATCCATTCCATTGTGGTTGGACATTTGGGCTGTTTCCATATTCTTGCAATGGTGAATAATGCTGCTTTGAACATTGGTGTACCAATCTCTCTTTGTGCTTCGGTTCTTATATTTCTGGGGTATGTCTTTTTTTTTCCCCCTGGGGTATGTCTTAAGCATTGGAATAGCTGGGTCATATGGAATTTCTATGTTCAGCTTTTTTTTTTTTTTAGAAAATGAAAAACTGGTTGGACCATTTTACAATCCCACCAACAGTGTATAAGAGTTCCTATCTAAAAAAAAAAAGTTCCTTTCTCTCCACATCCTCTCAGACATTTCTTATTTGTTCTCCTGTTCAATAGCCACTGCTACTGGTATACCACCTACATTGTAGCCCTGATGTTATCTCACAGTACTCCTCAGAGCCAATCAAATTCCATACAGAGTGTCTCCAGCCCCCAACAAACCTTTGTAATATGTACTTCTAGGGGCATCTGCCAGACATGTACACACGTGGTTCTACATTGACCCAGCCTCAGTCACTCTCTCTGATCTCTCTCACCAATCTTCTCCACTCTTACTGTATACTCAGGCCATATGTAGGCCTTGCTGCACTGAACACCCCCTGTGTTTCATCCCTCTTGCTGTTCCTCCAGGACCTTCCTCTTGGAACACCTTCCACTTTGCTTCCACCCAGAGAAGTCCCACTGGAAAGCCACTCCTTCCCTTAGTTCTCGGTTTCCTCTGATGATCTCCACTGCACCTAGCACTGCCTTCTCTCCCGAGCTGTCGTCTTCCCCATGTCATGCTCATGTTCTGTGCCTCAACCTTCCTCTTAGTCCTGCAAATTCCCAGAGGAACTCCCCTTGCTGTTGATCCTGGCTTCTGGTGGCTCTATAGGACAGAGTAGAACTGCTCTCTAGGATTTCCAAGGCTATAACTATTTGTGGATTGACATAATGATTACAGCAATGGGCACTAGCCCAGCAGAACTTGTGAGATGGTGCAGAATTGGGCAGAGTTTGTCAGCGCCAACTCAGTGGTACCTAATATCCTAATGCTTCTTTATGGAATGGCAAAGAAGAAAAATCTCATACTCAGTTAGGACCAGGAGTTTGATTGAGGAATAATACAGCTCAAGTTGAGCATTGCTAGGTAGAAATACAAAGCACTTGTTTACTGGTTTAAAGGTTTTGTTCTGGAGAACAAAAGAAAGGCAGGGGCTCACAACTGATTCCGCTTCATCTTTGGAGCCAGGAGGTAGTACAAGGGGTGTAGGCAACACCAGATGACACTGTCATGAGGGTAACCCCAAGATGAATGCCAACAAAGTGTTTTATAAAAATATTCCTTTAAGGATGACAGAAGAATAGACGCCTTCAAGTTGTGGTGCTGGAGAAGAGTCGTAAAAATACCATAACTGCCAAGAAAACAAATCAGTCTGTCTTGGAGAGCGTGAAACTATGTCTCTCCTTGGAGACTATGATTTTGAAGCTCTGCCTCACTTACTTTGGGCATGTGCATGTGAGTGTGTGCTTGAATATGTTATAATTACATGAGAGAGCAGTCCTTGGAGGAGGACATCATGCTCAGAAGGGCAGACTGACAGCACAGGAGAGGGAGACCCCGGGTGAGATAGATTGATACAGAAACAGGGGTGATGGAGGTTGGTGTGTCAGAATTAGTGAGATGGGCTTGGGACAGGGAAGGATTCAGAGCTGCTGTACATAGGGTCGCTATGCATCATAGGTGCCTCAACCCAGAACATTCTATGACAGGTTTGGAAGCAGGAATGGCATCCACTTTCTAAATAACATGCCTCCTGAAATTTTATGAACTTTGATAAATGTCGATAGTTGTAGAGGGGCTTCAGGCCTTTTGTTCATAGGGTTGCATGAGTTGTGCTCGACTCAAAGGCAATCAACAACAATGAGTTATAAGGACAAAAACATTTTCTTAAACTTGCTTGTTTTTTGACATTGTTACTGACTCTGAACCAAACCCCAACTGATCCTGCAGTGAGTTTTCAGAGGCTGTTAATACACAAAAGGTGAGTGCCCAATTTTCTCCCACAGAGCAGCGGTGGATTCAGACCAGCTACCTTTGGGTTGGCACTACGACTCTATACACATTAGGCCACCAGTGTCCCCTTAAGCCCAGTTTGCTGTTTTAGTGCTGTTGTTGTTGTTAAGTGTTGTCAAGTCGAGCAAACTCATAGCGACCTAATGAACAACAGACCTGAATTCTGTCCTATCTGCACCATCCTTATCTTCCTTGACACATTTGAGTCCATTACCACAGATGCTGTATTCATCCATCTCTTTGAGGATCTTCTTCTCCTTCACTGACCCTTCACCTATCTAAGCATGAAAACTCTTTCCAAGGACTAGCTTCTTCTGAGAACATGTCCAAAATATGTGAAAAAAAAAAAAATATGTGAGATGCAGCTTAACCATCTTTGCCTCCAAGGAGCACTCCAGTTGTACTTTCTTCAAGACATGATTCTTCTCTTGACAGTCCATGTTCAGTACTCTTCTCCAACACCACAACTTAAAGGGATCAATTCTTCTTCCATCATCTTTATTCATTGTCAAGCTCTTAGATCACATCAGGTGATTGGAAAGACTGTATCTTAAATCAGGCACACCTTTGTCTTAAAATTGACATAGCTCTTCAGGACTTGGAGAGGTACCTGACAGCAGACTTTCCCAGTGCAATATGTCTCCTGATCTGCTGAATTCTGGCACAAAGGGTTTTGACTGTACATCCACGGAAGATTAAATCACTGACAATTTCAGTCTTTTATCCATCAATATTGCTTACTGGTCCAGTGGCAAGAATTTTTGTTTTCTTGGTGTTGAAATGTAATCTATATTGAAGTCTGTAGTCCTTGATCCTCTGCAGCAAATACTTCAGGTCTTCCTCACTTTGAGCAAACAGGATTGTGTCATCTGCTTAATGCAGGTTGTTGATGAACCTTCCTCCAATCCTGCTATTACATTCTTGTTCATAAAGTCCAGTTTGTCTTATGATTTTTCTCAGCATATTCAGATTGAATAGGTTTTGAGAGAGGATATCACCCTAACATACAGTTTTCCTGATTTTAAACCATACAATCAACACTCTTGGTACCAGCAGCAAGGAAATAAAGAGACTAATTGCACTGGGGAAAGTAGGCTGTCAGGGACCTCTTCAGAGTACTAAAAAACAATGACGTCAGGCTGGAGACTAAGGTGTGCCTGATCCAGACCACGGTCTTCCTAATTGCTTGCTTTGTGTCAGAGAGCTGGATAATGACTAGAGATGATAGAGAATTGATGCCTTTGAGCAGTGGTGCTGGAGAAGAGTGTTGACTATACCATGGACTGCCAGGAGAACAAACAGGTTAGTCCTGGAGAGGGTGAAACCAAAGCTGCTCCTTGGAGGCAAGGATTCTGAGGCATCATCTGACATACTTTGGGCATGTTGCAAGGAGGGACCGGTCCTTGGAGAGGGATATCATGCTTTGAAGGGTGGGTGGACAGAGAAAGAGAGGAAGACTATCGATGAAATCGATTGATGCAGTGACTGGGGTAATGAGGGTAGGTGTGTGTCAGAGACAGTAAAGTTGGCACAGGATAGAGCAGGTTTCAAGGCTATTGTACATAAGGTCGCTATAAGTCACAGGCAACTGAATGGCACATAACAACAACAACAAGTGTTCTCTTGCTCTGTTTGAACAATAGATTCTTGGTCTAGGTATAGATTTTGTACGAGCATAATTAAAGTGTTCTGGAATTCTCATTCTTCTCAAAGTTAGCTATAGGCTTTTTATAATCCACAGAGTCAAATGCCTTTGCATAGTCAGTAAAGCACAAATATACATTCTTCTAATATTCTCTTCTTTTATCAAGATCCATCTGACATCACCAGTGATA